ATACTTGGATAAGCAAGGCTAAAAATAATAAATAATAAATGTTGAACAACAGTAAGTCATGTTATTAAGCCCTAATAAACTGTTAAAGAAAAATGTAGGCAAAAATGCTGTCATAATGGAAGTGGGGGTACAGTCCTGATCACGTTGTGGGGAGTAAACACAGAGGCCCAGGGTGGTGAACGTGTGTCTTAGGAGGTTGTGCCCAGCATCCATCACATGGAGTTAGTCTTCCCTTGAGTTGTTTATAAAAGCATATCCTAAACCCAACCTCTTCTAATTGTGTAATTGCAGAGTTTGTAATCACCTGTTTCAAAGAGGTGGGAGCCTCAGACAATTGAATAATCATAACTCAAATGTGACAGCAATACAAAAGACACACCTTCCTGAGTGCAGAGGTGGTGAAATGAAGTAACGGTGGAACAACTGTCAGGGTTTCCAACTTCTCTAACTTGGAAGGAGTCACTAGGTGAATAAATAGCACACTCCCACTCACCCCAGCAGAAGCCAGAATGACCCAGTGGGTAGATCGGTAGTAGTAATAGAAGTTGTAATGTTTCCACATTGAGTTTTTAATAGAACTCAGGATCCATTGGGGGCCTAGACAATTTGTAAAGTAGGCCAACTTTAGTCCCTCCCATCTCTTCTTCCAACCTCCTTCTTCCTTCCTAGTGAATAGCTTCTGTATTATAAGCTCAGAGAAGGGACCAGGCACTGGACTAAGCACACTGAACATGTTCATTCATTTGCATCTTGCAGCCACCCTATGGGCTAAGTACTATTATTATTACCACTTTACAGATAAAGTGGTGGATTGGAGGATTAAGTAACTTGATCAAGACACACTGCTAGGTGATTTAGATGTGTTCAATTCTTATGTCTGTGCTTTTTATCACTTAGCAATAAAGCTACAGTCAAGATATAATCTTTGATAAAGAAGATGTGGTATATTTATACAATGAAATACTATTCAGCCATAAAAACTGACAACATAATGCCATTTGCAGCAATGTGGATGTTCCTGAAGAATGCCATTCTAAGTGAAGTAATCCAGAAAGAGAAAGAAAAATACTATATGAGATCGCTCATATGTAGAATCTAAAAAAAAAAGAACATAAATACAAAACAGAAACAGACTCATAAACATAGAATACAAACTTGTGGTTGCCAAGAGGGCAGGGGGTAGTAAGGGACAGACTGGGATTTCAAAATGTAGAATAGATAAACAAGATTATACTGTATAGCACAGGGAAATATATACAAGATCTTGTGATAGCTCACAGCAAAAAAAAAATATGACAATGAATATATGTATGTTCATGTATAACTGAAAAATTGTGCTCTACACTGGAATTTGACACAACATTGTAAAATGACTATAACTCAATAAAAAAAAGTAAAAAAAAGCATAATAAACTGCAAATAAGTATTCTATTCTAAAAAAATAAAAAATAAATAAAAAGCCATCACCATACACATCTTAAAAAAAAAGAAAAAAAAGAAAAGTTTTTAGTTCTACATTTTGCATTTAAAAAAAAAGATATAATCTCTGAGCTTTGTCCTTAGTTGGCAATTATTTTCTCTTAAATGTTATTCCTCCAAAGTTTTTGGGGGACTGGAAAAGGCTTTAAGAATCTCTAATGTGACACAAGTCACTTCCCTATTTGATATATAATATATTCATGAAGACATGAAAATTAAAGTTATAGACATCAAGCAAGAGAGGTAGATGCTATTTGGTTTGGTTAAGAGGTCAGAGGACTTCCAGAGATTTAAAAAATAATTATAAAGATGCTAACTATGCCTTGCCTTTTGGATACTATATTTGACACTACAGTCCCAGAATTTCATCCATGTTCTTTAATTTGTTATTTTTCTTCATAATTGAACATATAATCAACCTCTTCTCCATGGAGCATCCAATTGAGGCTAAAGACTGGCTACTTTTAGCATACCTAAGATTTCTATTTTTGTCTTAATTTTATTAAATTGATGAGACCTCTGCTTATTTTCACTAATGTCAGCAGTTTCTTTTTCTGTTTTCTACTCATTTTTGTAAATGAATATTTGAATATTCAGATAATTGCATGAATCTTCCATTACCAAGATGGTGCTGCTGTCAAAACTGAACAGTTGTTCAGTTCCATTATGGGAAAATGCCTAGTGTTCTTTTGTCAGCTAATGAATGAACTTCTGAACTCAGTGTATGAAAAATAATTTAGAGGTGGGAGTGTCTAAGGTATTTAAAGTGTGGTCTGTAAGGTAGTTAACATTTAACAGTCAAGGACTGTAAATAGATCCATTTAGCAAATGTTCACAGAGGACCTAGTGTTGTGTGTTTGGCCTTGTATTAGGTTTTGTGGGCACTAAGAATACCTGCCACTCCCTGATAATTTCGGATGGACCTCATTATTAGGGTGATAGTTGGGGTTAAGAGGAATGGTGCCAAAATTTTTGGCCAAACTTCCTAGGTGACTACTGCATAGCCTCTCTGAAATGAAATAAAGGGATTCATTTATTAAAAAATGTATTCAGTGCTGGAAACTAGTCCAGGGACTGAAGACAGAGAGATATGGCAATGAGCCCTAAGGAGCCTTCAGACCAGTGGGGACACAAACGGATAAATGGATAATCCAATTACAATGTGGTAAATGTGTTGACTGAGTATAAACAGGGTGCTATGGGACCATAGGGAAGGACTCCCAGACCATCCTGAGAAGTCACAGAAGGCTTCCTGGCAGAGTCCTGAATACCAGATAGGAATTCGCCAAGTGTAAAGGAGAAAGGATGTTTTAGATAGATGGAATAACATAAGCAAAAACACAGACATGCATTTGTGGACACAGTTTTGAATCTTTATGAGACAGAGAGTAGGAGATGAGGTTGAAGACTTATAGAAGGACCAAGCCATGCTAAATACTGGATGACAAGTCTCATGTCAAGGATCGAGGACTAGACCTTGTACAAATGGCTCCTCATTCATTATTTGTTATAGTATACTGGATGATGTTGGTTTTCCCTTAAATATAACTAAAACTACCTTCCTACTCCAATGATTGGCCAACTTTGGAATTCTTTGAGTGAGGCCCTGAAAAAAAAAAATGCAAACATAGCAAAATACTGCCACCTGGAAGAGCAGATAATCCCTAAGGATCATAATGCACAAACTAAATTTCTAACCAAGCTTCAGGAAATGAAAAGAAGTTAAGTTTTCTATAGCTATAATCCTATCACAGGCTTAAGATTCACCAGGGTCAACTTCAGACAGATTCATTCTGCTAGAATGGGAGAAGTAGATTATGGTAGTCATGTTGTGATCTTCAGTGGTCTTTTACATGGAGGGAGTATCCATCTCAGCTCTTTTCAAAATACTTAGCTGCAGCTGAAACTGTATAAAACCTCTGACTTCCCTCCTAGGACCGCCCAGCAGACCACCCCTTATTAGCATTCTTCATCTTACTGTTCCTTACTCAACATTTGTGGTATTTCATAGTCAGCACCCCAAATGTATTTTTTTAACGGCTTCATTGTGATATAATCCTCATGTAACACAATTCATCCAATTAAAGTATACACTTCAGTGGCTTTCAGCATATTCACAGTTGTACATCCATCACCACAATCAATTTTAGAATATTTTTACCACCTGAAAAAGAAATCCCATACCCCTTAGCTATCCCTCCAACTTCCTATGCCCCTCAGCCCTAGGCACCACTTGCTAATCTATTTTCTGTCTCTATAGATTTGCTTATTCTACACATTTTGTGTAAATGGAGTCACAGTATGTGGTCCTTTGTGAACAGTTTCTTTCATTGCTTACCTTTTGCTTAAATGAACTAGCACATGCTTTGTTTGACCTCAGAATCTTGTCCTTGGATACTAAATGGGTATTTTCTTCTTGGGTTCATGCACCTTGTTATCCCAACCCTGGCCAGATCCTCTAAACAGCTTGGACAGCAACCTACTTAGCCTATCATCAGAGCATATGAGTTAGACAGGTTGGGGCAAAGGTAGGACATGACAGGGGCATGTAACAGGAAATTGGACAGGCCCCCTACCCCAGATGGCCCCAATTTCTCTTTCCTACTAGTTGACTTTCTGCTGCTGTTGCCTAAAGGTATGGGGTGAGATAGGTGAGTTGGAAAGAATGCCTTCCAAAGTGTGTACCTTGAAGGTGGCAGCAGTTTTTCTTTTATTTTTCTCAGCTATTTCTACTCCATTAGTGTTTCTTTGGCACAGTCCAAGTTTAACTGACTGATTATAATCAGATGTGCCTATTCTGGTAGCTACATGGACAGCTCAGGGAGCATCCTTGGGGCTGTGACCAACCCTCCCTCTTGGCACACCAGAGAATGAAGAGAGGAGCTGGAAAAGGTGACCCCTCCCCCTTCACTGGTAAAGAGACTGTGTGTACCTTTGGGGTACCAAAGAGCTTATATTACAGATTACAACAATTTACTGGACACTGCACCTCATTTCGCTCAGTTTCCTTGAGGATCATCATTTCAATTAGATCCATGAATCCTCTTTACACATTTATCTGTAATGACTGTAGAAAATGCTTTGTCATCACAAAGTGGAGAAGCCTTGCTTTTACTGTCTACAAGTAGGCACTGACAACACAGGTTGTAATGGTGAGATGGAATGTCTTAAAATCTTTCATCCTCCCTGGTTACTTGAGTTAGCCAGGGAATACAGCAGTGACTAGACATCATGATGGGATTGTGAGTTCAGACACCCCCAGTGTTGGGCTTGTGCAAGAGGAAACTAGGAGGAGGAACTGTTCATCAGTACCCATCCTCACCCACGCGTCTATAATTACCAACAACGGTTGCAATGCAACCCAAAAACATAAACACGATGAGTTGGCTAAAGCCCAGGCTCTATTTATAGTCTCTACAGACCTACTAATAGCCTTAACACCCTCCTTGAAACAAACCCCAAATTGGGAGTAGGGGACAAAGGGGCAGTCTCAGTTATGAGATGAAGTAGCAACTCTTTACCTCCAGTTCAATGTGGTCCTTGTATGCAAGACCATCAAAAACATCCAGCCATTCTAAGAGAGGCATATCTCAAAATAAACATTTTCCTGGGCAAGCCAGCCAAGAACACAGAGCCAAAGGATTTCCAACTCAGACTTGGAAATTATAGGGTTTAATTGGGAGGCGTGACAGGGGCACGTCATCGTTGTTTAGACATTTGACTTGAGCTGTTTTTATTCAGGCAAGACAGGAAGTGGTTGAGAAGAAGTGTGACACAGTGGAAAGAGCAGGGGCTGGGAGTCAGACAGTTCCATGTTTGGCTGGGTGGCCTTGAACAAGTTTCTAGATCTCTCTGAACCTCAGTTTTCTCCTCTGTGAAGTGGGAATAGTAAAAATATCTACCTTATAAGGAGCTGATAGAATCACATATGGCATATAGATCCTCAAAATGGAAGTTTTTTTAATGAGGATAATCATTAATAATGCATTATTATCTATCAGGATTTCTGAAAGATTTGGTCCGTATAACTCACAGTGGGTAATTTACTCATGTCTTTGAGATGGTCCATATTACTAAAAAAATTTAAAGAATTAAATGATATTTTAGATATTCTTCTCCTACCTAGGTCCTACAAAGCTACTTCAGAAAGTTGAAAATAATAAGTTTATTTTATATTTATATATTTTATTATTCAGAGATAATATTTGTTTATGTAGCATAGTTGCAAATTCCATTTCTTGCATATTTTAATAAGGAGCAGCCCATTTGATGAGATTAGTAAATGACATTATATCTATTTTAATGTTCAGGAAAACAAAGCATAGAATTTCTATATCTTGGTAAAACTTTATTTAATTTTACAGAGAACCAGAGAGATCACTGCAACAAATCTCCCCCCACCCACCCTGCCACAACCCCGCCACTGAAATATTATCTGCAACATCCCTGAGACGTAGACACTCAACTCCTACATGAACCCTTTAAGAATTAGGGATCCAGAGGCAATCCATTGCATTTTGGAGGCCGCTGAAATGGTTAAGAATTTCTTCCTTCTGTTGAACCCAACTTGATCTCTCTCTTGCTCTCATCATATTGATCTTGTTTATCCCTTGGGGACAAAACCTTCCTCTACACAATGGCCCCTCAGATTTCAGAAGAAGAATGAGACCAGAACTCTCCAAGTCTTCTCCTCTCTAGATCCAAAGTCAAAAGAAATTAATTTTTAATTATTCAGCTTAGGGTTTTCTATGTGAATACAGATGGTCATCCATGTGCCCTTGAGAGTATCATATGTATTTGTATGTGAACATGTATAAAACCTGTAGCCACAAAGTTCTGTAATACAATCATTGCACCATGACCAAATTGGTATTTAGTTTTAATACTTCTAATTTGATCCTGGATGTGATGAAAGTCATAGTAGTAGTAATAATAACAACATCAGCAGCAGTAACATTCATAATTTACTAAGAGCTTACAGCATGCTAAAAACTCTGTCTTTTTAGTACAAAAAAATTACACGATAAATGTTATTATCCCCCTTTTCAGCTGAGGAAAATCAAGTCTCCAAATGCTGGAGTAATGTTGCCCACATTCCCAAAATTGGCTGCTGCCGCTATCAGGATCTGACCTGTGGTTGTCAAATCCCAAAGGCCAAGCAGCTGGAGTCCAAGAGGCTGCTGTTTGGTTATTTAAAGTCAGGATGGCTCAAGACAGGAAGGGCAGGAATACTGCAAGGATTCACTAAAGCAAGGACTCAAAGAGTGTGTCATTACCATGCCCAGCTGGAATCAAGACAGAGGCACCCAGGGGCAGTCTGGGACCACCAGAAAGTCCCTGACACAGGTGTGGAGGTGCAACCCAGAGGATGAGTCCAGAGTGGAAAGGAGCAAAGGAAAGGATTTTTTCTGTTTGCCCAAAGCATAAAGTTACACACACCCATGGCTGGGCTGTACTGTTAATGTCAGTAAATACACACTGGAGGTATCCATTTATAGACCATGGCAGGGTCAACTGCAATTCCTTCTTATCTGGTGTTTAAAGTCTCATTTCCTAGTGTCCACCAGAAAGTTTAGCATATACCTGGTGCGCTGCAATAATCTGCCTTCACAGATTGGGCTCAAAACAACATTTGGTGAATTAAATCACACTTAAAATGAACTAGGACATCTGGATCCTTAATGATATTGCTTATTATAATGTACAATGTTACATAATAATAATAAACCATTATTAATTATTTTGTAAGTGAATAATTACTGAGAATCATTCCAAAGTTCCTTTTTAAGAGCTAAATATTAATTTTGATGTCTCAGATCACCTCATGTTTACATCTCATAGATCTTAGTCTTTACTTCAAGCACAGTAAAAATAATAATACAAGCAGAGGCACGGGAAACTCCTATGACAGTCATTTATATTCTGATATCTTTTTTGTTTTTAGTCTCACACACATTCCGATGTCTGGTGTGAATTAAATAGTTAAAAACTAACACAGGTGGAGTGTTTTGCTTTTTATGAAATTGTGCCCTGTCACCACTCGCTGTTAACACAGAAGGAAAAATGAGGCTCAGAGAAGTGACTTAGCCATGGTTAGTTATCCAGCTAGCAAATGAAGTCAAGATTTTCATCCATGTCATTTTCAATCTAGCATATCATGCAAATTTTAAAGCTTAAACAATAGATGATTTTTGACCTATTTCGAGGGAAATGGTAATTGACACTTAAAGATACTATGTCTCTTAGCAACTGCAGAGTTTCATGGAGTTCATTTGGTCTGCATCAGGATCCACACCCTGAACCAGGCCAGGTAACAGTAAACTGTTGCCCTGCCGAAGTTCCCTGGGGCCCTTGTGCAGTGCAGCACATTTACTGCTTCTGAGTAGAGAGAGAGAGGGGAGATGACTAATGGGCATGTCATCAGCCAGAAATGGACAGAAAATTCTTGCCCTTTCCCTGATACTGAGCTGACCAGTGCAGTCAAACCACTAGAAGGGCAAGAACAAACCTTACTTCACAACCCCAAAGGGAGGGGTAACGTGAAGTTCAGATGCTTTCTCTTAAAACCTCTCACACCCAAGTGTTGTGCTATTATTCTAAACAGTGCGTTCTTTT